CTACATAAGGCTGGTCCCAAACTTGCCAGGCACCTTCACTGCCTTCACTACTCCTCTAAGCTAAGCTATTGCATACAGCTGTGAGAGGAGGCAAGGTGCTGCTCCTTGCTGTGGTGCTTGAGGGCTGCCTTGCACTCTCCTTTCTTTGCTGGGTTGGAGAAACATGAGGGAGAAGGGATTTGCTCTGCATTCATATGCAAGGCGCCTGTGCTCCCCACCAACTAATGGGCTGCCTCTTCTATGAAATGGCTTTGGGATTTTAAAGTCCTAATTTGTGGGGGAAATCCCACTTGTTTATGCAACTAATTCCCAGCGAAGTCACCAAGGTTTTGTAGGTAGGAGAATGGTGTATTTTAGGAATTAAATGCTGATGTAGCTATAAAATGGGAATCTCAGTACTGGCCTCAGTGGTGGTGCACCTTGAGATTGATCACAGAAAATGCAGTAAGTGTGAGGCAGTGTCCCTGTGATGCTTCTGTAGTGGGGGGGAGAGGGCATCTCCAGAAGGTTTTGGGAAAGTTCCTTCTGGGACTGGGCCTACCTCTTGCATGGGAGCATGTTGGAGGCAACACTCCTTCCTGTTTAAGTCTTGCCATGCTTTTAACCTTCACATACAGACACTCAAAGGGAAAACCTAGCTTCTTCTAACCAAATTAGCTCAGTGTTTTCATCTGCCATTATGTTAATGCAATGCGAAGCTCAGCAGATGGCACAAAGTAAATTATGCTGGGGAGGGGGGGTGTGGAGGAGGAAGCAAAATTGACCTTTCTAGGACTTGCTGGTTTTCCACAGCATGGTTTGAAAGCTGAAGTTCCATGTCCTGCTTAAAGTCACATCAGTCAATGCAAAGGCAGACACAATAGGCACAGAGATGACAATGAATGTTAACTCTCCCTGGCACTGAATGTTTCAGAACTTAATTTACCTGCACATTTGCTCAAAGAGCCCAGCGTATCCCTCACAAATGCTCTTCCCCGTCTGAAGCACATCTATGGGTTTGCTCGACAGCTGGCTTTTGTTATGGTAGCCCACGACGTCGTATTCTGCAGGAAGGAACACAGACGAAAGTTCATCCAAAAGCCTGAGGCAGTGGGATCGACGGGCAGCAGGAGCAATGCTTGGATTGCTTTTCATCTCTGTGAGCACAAGCAAATGGAAACAAGCCGTGGCGTGTGCTGCACGAGAATGTTGTGGACGGCTGGTGAGGGGAGAGGGACGAGGTCTGTCTCTCATCACCGTTTGTTCTAAGCCTGGGCTCGGATTCAGCAGTTGAATCCAAATGGGAGGAAAATTGGTGTTTTTTTTAGGGGAAGTGGGGCTGCCCTTGTGCAGGGGGGTCTGCAGTCTCATGAGTGCCCAGTACAAAGCAGAACGCTCTGCATTTGAAGGAGTCAGACTCATGTTACTGTTAAAGGAAACCATTGAGCTTTCTGCACTCTTTACAAGCAATTTGTATTAAAAATACCTGGAAAGTAGCTTGCTGGGAAATACCTGAAATGATTTGTTTCAAGTGAGTCATATTAATACCTAGCAACACAGGAAATCTTAATTTGTTTGAATGAGTGCAGCAAAGCGGCACAGCAAGGTTCCTTTAGACAGAGCTTGAGGAACTGGTCTGGGAAGGTTAATTCAATCCCAACCAACCTTGGTCATGTCCGTAACCTCTTTCTTAAAATGCGAACATGTTTTTCTGTCAAAGCTCTAAGGAATGCTGCATCAGCTGATTCATCCTCCCTTTAATACTGTAGAAGAGGGAAAAAAGGCTGGCAGCACACTGTATTTGTGCTTTGATGAAATGCTGCAACTGCTTGTCTTTTATCCAAGGGGCTCAGCTGATGGCTGTCTCAGGGTTGGCTCCTGGGGCTGCAGGGAAAGGCTGGATTTTACACCTTGGGCTGTCTGCTGGGCCACCAGCAAGGCTGCAGAGTGCTTTGAGGGGGTATGGAGAGCTAGCTGGATGCACGTGGCTCCATATTTATGCTAGAAATGATAGCTAAAATAATTTATTTTAGTGCTACTGCTGCATGGAGGTAGCAGTCCATCATAAGCAGGGAGTGGAATTGGGTGGGAAGAAGGGAGCAGCACTTTCACTTAAAATCCAAAGCAGGAAGGAATTTATAGACAGTGCTCTTGCAGGATAGGTACGTTGCATTTTTGTGAGCTGATTTAAATTCCTAGCACTGTCTTTATTTCCCATGCATGTAAATGGGGGTCAGTCTCTGCAGGAAGGAAGGAGAACCAGGGCCAAGATGGTGTAAAAAAATCTTTTGAGGAGATCACAGTGTAACTGTCAGGGATCAGAGACATCCCATGTGTGTAAGGTAAATGGACTGACTCAAACCAGACTGGCCATCCCAAGCAGGATCTGGCCCAGGCAGGGGCAGGCAGAAATGAGTTAATAGTATAAAGACTGAATGAGTCAAATGCTTGGTCTCAGGAAATTCAGTGAAATCAGCAGTCTGCATATTTAAGGGCAGGATTAAAGCTTTTTAGGATTGACCTGAGTATGTGAACTGTGCAGTTGCTGGAAAAGTTCTGCTGATCTCAGGGGGTATGAGATTAGGCCAGTGCTCCCCAAATTGCTCTTCTGCTCTCCATCAGCTGCCTGGTTCAGCCAGCTAATGGAGCTGTACCAGAGCCTGTCAGGGTGTGCAAGAGATGAGGGAAAGAATAGCTGTTATTCTCCCCCTCTACCCCCAAGTATTGATGGGAAAGAAACATTTCTGCATATGCTGTGCAAAATCCAATCATGTTTCACATCCAGTTTCCCCCCCCCCCCCTCCAAGGAGCTTGAGGTGGTAAGAAGCCTTTTGGCCCCTCTGATGTGCCTGACTGGAGAGGCTACAAATCCTGCCTTTTCCTCCTTTCTTGTCCTCTTCCCACCTCTTGGCTGTTTCTGAAATTCCAGTGTTGCTCGGGTTGGGTAGGAAGGGGCAGGGGAAATGGAGTGATTGCGGTTCTCATGGAGGTTGAAAGGGTGCACGTACAGACAGGAACGGCAATCACACAGGTGCCAGCATGTTTTATGAAAGCTGACCTCTCTCATGTGCTGTGCTGACACGGCTGATGGATGTGTCAACAGGATGAATGCAGTTAGGTACCGGCTACAAGCTGGAGCACGGGATGTATCCAACAAAACACGGGCAAAGCTGGCAGTGAAGCAGCCACAAGACTGTCAGAGGCAAGAGGACACCGCACCTGGGATGGACTGTCCAGGCTGCTGCTTGCCAGGGGTGCTCTGCTGCCCAGGGAGGGAGCAACAGAGGGGCTGCAGAAGCACCTGTGGTGACGGCGAACTGAGCAAGGCAGCTTGATGCTCTGGTGGTACCTACACTATGCCAAGACCTTCCCAGAGCAAAGGCACCGACATGCAGAGCGTGCTGGGAAGGGCTGCGTGGGGGGTGAGGGGGTACAGGGCAGTGCTGGGTTTGAAACTTCTGGTGGTGCTGGGTGGCTCTGAACGTGACAACCACGCCTCTGGTGCTTGGCAGGCTGGCTTCGTGCTCCAGCAGCTTAGATGACAGCGACTTGTATGGGTACACCTTCGAGTAACTGGGTAGGAGTTACAGGTTCATCATGTGGAAAGAAATCATTTACACACAAACCTTATAGGGGCTGGCAGTGCTAGGAGAGGGACTATGGAAACAGACGTGGTGAGATAACCTCTGAATACATTTCTGGATAAATACACCAGGAAGCCTTCCTCCTGCCCACCATGTGAAACCAACCCCCAAGACAGGTAGTAAACTGCAATGGCAGCGTGACAGGGGTGACAGCAACAGCCTTATGTTCTCAGCTGAAGATCTCAACCTACCTATGTGATGGCATATCCACATCCATATGGCTCGAACTTTTTCCAGATCAGTACGGGCTTGTTTAAGCAGGGCTTTAACGAGTTCCTCTACACTGTTCGTGATGTTTACCTGTTTGTGAGGAGGAACATTGCAAGATTGTGGTGAAGAAACTGCTATGGTAGATCTCCCTTCCTCCTCACTCCCTTGTTCTTCTAAAACTTGTGAGACCCCACCTGCCAAGAGACTGCTCTAACTCAAGCTTCATTAAAGATAGAAATACAACGCTGCAGTTCCATGTTTCAAGCAAGTAGTTTTGGTCATAGTTTCTCTCCTAGAGTGGGATCTCTGTTGCTGATGTTTGCAGGGAAATGTTTTTTCACTTGTTTGGGAGATTTTGAGGCACTTGTCCTGATAGCTCAGACTAAGCTGGTGTTAGTGCTGGTTTCAAGGAACATCTCTGCAGGAGAGCTGGGAGGAGGACAGAGGCAAAAGCAAGACTTACTTTTAATGCGTAGGCATCCAGCTTCTCAAATTGCTGCAGATCTACTGGCATGGATTTCAAAGAGGATTTGTCCCATGGATATGCTGGGAAGAAACGAGCTGTCATTGTCTCGGGAAGGGAGGGGGTATTTTTTCCTGGCTGTAAGCTTGAACAAGGAGACACAGCAGAGCTCCTGCCGACCCACAGAGGCATCCATCAGCGGGTGCTTAGGGAGCAGAGGACGTGAGGACACTTGCCGAAAGTCCCTGCCAGCTGCATGGAAAGCAGGAGCCATCCTGTCTAGTCTGGCATAATTTGGGCAGTGCTGGAGTGGGAGGTGCCCCTGTGTCTTTGGTGCTGCATAACAGCACAGAAAATCCCAGAATATTATATGAAGGTGCATGAGATATAATGCAGAAGTTTCAGGGAAAATCTGTACTGTGGAAGCCCTGGCAGAAACATGACTTTTTTAAAAAACCACCAAAGAGCTGGATTTTTCCAGTGGCTTTGTTGAAAGTGATGACTGTTTTGCATGGTAAAGGGCTACAATTCTGCACAAATTCAAGCACATGAAAAATTTAACATGGGGAGCACTCAGGCTGAAATTGGTGTGTCTGCCCCTCTGCATCTTTTCAGGCTCTAGGCTCCTGGTTCTATTCAGTGTGAACAAAGGGTTAATAACTTGCCCTAATTAATCGGATAACTTATTTTTTTTTAACAGTCTCTGAATGAGCTGCCACTGTTCTCTCTCATCAGTGAGCCAACCAAGTGATGCAGCTGCAGCTCGGTGTACAGGCATATCGGATGGACGTCTCCCCTGGACTGCTGTCTGCTCAGCCCTCCCTTTTCTTCTGAGCTGGTGAGAGGAGAATTGAGCTCTACAGCAATCTCTCCCCCTGTCATGTCCTGTCAGAGCCGTTCAGGACTAAAGAGATTCTTCTAGCTATCTCTGTAGGCTTGTTATTTCTCTAGAAAAAAGGATTTAAAAGAGATCACAAAGTGAAAATGCTGTTGTGTGGCTCCCAAGTGCTGGGAGAGGTGAATCAATGGTGCCATAGAGCTGCTACTTGCCTGGAGAGGGGTGACAAGGAGCAGTGGATTGCCTTGGGTGCTGTATAGGGGCACAGAGGCTTCACCTGGTTTCATGACCCTCACTAAGCAAGCGTGACGCCCCTCTGCTGCCTGCTCAGCGAGTACCAGTGGGAGTGGGATGCACAAGAGGCTCCAAGAGCATCCTATCCTAGCCGAGAGGCTGGCAGTGCTTCTGAAATCTCCATCTCCCCGAAACGGGGCTCTGGCCCCTTTGTTGCCAGCTCCAGCCCACTGGGGAGTTGGCCAGAAGGCCTGTTCCTGACCTGCAAAGGTGTTTCGTTAATGTGAGCTCTGCTCTTCTTGGAAGCCCCTGCCCCAGGGACGGGCCATGGGGCATCTTGTGTTCCACATCCCAGTGACGCTGTAGCCTGGCAGGCAGGATGCAAGAGCATCCCTGTGCTGGGCAGGCGCTGGTCTGCCAAAATCAGCGTGTAGGCACACGGCATCTGTTTCTTTAACAGGCTTGTTTGTTTATCTCAGTTTTCCCTGAAAAGGGCTATTATGCTGACCTAAAGAGAGATAAAGCAGATTTATGCGTTTAAAGGTTCCCACTCTCTACAGCTGTGAAAATTACTTTTTGCCTTTTGGGAATGGGATATTTTTTTTAAAACTGGTTATCAGTTTTTGTCTTTGTCAGGTTATAGCTGCAAAAGCTCCCCGCAGATGTGGGATCTGCAGTACCTCACGTAGCCCTGTGCAGTTAGGATGTGTGCATCATGCCTGTTTGCAGAGTAGCCTTCCTCAGCTATGGAGCCTTGGGAAGGTCTCGGGCACGTGTGACATTCCCAAAGCCGTTCCCAAATCCATGGCACCCCGATGAACAGCAGGTTGGGAGGCGGAACGCTACTTGTGGTAATGGAAATTAAATCCCTTGTCCATGCACTTCAGTCTAGACTCACAGTAGGGCAGCAAGCCCTGTTTCTAGGACTGATGGGCTTCTATCTGGGACTGCCCCACACTGTGCCCCACACCGTGTCACCAGCATGGGGAGAGGGGACAGTTGATAGTTACCGTGCAGGTCTTTTCCTCCTGGCGGCCGTGGGGCTTCAGTCCTCTGGAAACCTGGCAAAGTGGAGAAGGGAGCGTGAAGTGAGCAGTTGTTGGCAGGAGAAAAAAGACAAACAGAAATAACTGATTCTGGGGAACAGGACTGGGTGGAAAAAGCTGGAATTGAGGCTTTTCTTTGCCCGTTCCCCTGCATTCGGACATGGATGTCAACACCATGCAGAGTGCAGGTGCTGAGGGGAGGGGGATGAAGCAAGCTGCCTGGACTGCAGCGTGCTCTGTGTTCCCTCCCTGATGCCCTGTGGTTCTTCAGAAGCCACATTCCCCAGCAGCCAGGCATCTCCTGTTCTAGCCGGAGGGATGGGGACATCAAACCCCTGTCCACCACACGGCCAAACCTCCCCGGGCGTGGAAGAAGGGAGAGCTGATCTCCAGAGCTGTTAGAAGATAACCCTCTGTGGCAGCTGGAGGATTTCTGAGGGACACTGCAGCCCCCAGACTGTCACCACCCACCTCATCCCAGAGCCAAGAGAGGAGGAGACACACCACACACGTGTGTGCGCCCCCCCCCCCCCCCCCCCCCCCCCCCCCCCCCCCCCCCCCCCCCCCCCCCCCCCCCCCCCCCCCCCCCCCCCCCCCCCCCC